ACCGACCAACACTACGCCTTCGTGTTTCACGTGTTCTAATTGGAATGCAGTCAACGCTACTACCACCTTGAACAATGTTAGGATTCAATATTGAATGGAAAGGCATTTGAAGTTTCACAAAAACCACTAACGCCCCCAAACATGGACATCGCCCCAAAAAATAAGACCACGTCTGATTATCTGTTATTGGAAATGGATAAACAACATCACCCAGAGATTGATTTGGCTGAAATTTTCCCCATAATAATATTTCACCAACAGTGCCTCCAATTTGAAGACAATTCTTTATCTCGGACACTAACTGTTCGAACGAACATGTTGCAGAGACAAACACGACATTTTGAGGAGCAATGTTAAAACCAACATCATCTCTAGAACCTTCATGTACTGGATCAGCACAACAACCTGGTTACATACAAAATAAAATCTCGTACATGATAAAATTATAATTATAATATAAATAATTTCATATAAATTTTTATCGAAATAATTTATACTTCAATCATTATAAAGATGTGGAATTCATACTGCCATTTTCCTTAAGGTAATTCCTACGAAAAAAATATACATATCATGTATAACCAATATACAAAACACAATACGAAATAACAAATAAAAATTTACAAAACAAATAATGCTAATATTTACTAACCTTTAACTAACTCCGGATTGAAAATGATAACTTTTACTCTAAACTTGTAGCAGCCACACTTCTAGAAACCAAAAACACTACACGGTTAAAAATCATGCGTGATAGCCCACATGGGTTGTATAATGAGATGACATCTCATTATGACAGCCCATGTGGCTAGTACATAGCCTACTGTCAGCCGTGAGATGACAGCCCATGGATTGTCATCTCACGGCTGACACCCCATGTGACTTTCAGCTTATGTATGATAAATTTATATAAGTTTGATTTTTTTTGGATGTATTATACAACTTCGATTATAAATTTTTCCATTTGCATTCGTGATTTGAAACACAATATTTAATCATGTAGAATTACATGTTTTATTTTTCTCAAGTTCAATATAGCAAATTCCTGTTTTTCGATTTGAAATTTTCAAAAATGTTAAAATTTTTATCACACTCTAATACAACGGATAATAATGTTGAATGTCATGCAATTAAGTCTCGCGAATGTATATGAACCCAAGAAATGGAAATGTGAAGCAATTAGGAAGGGAAAAGATCCTTCTGTCATCGCTATCCGCCTGTTGGTTGGGTTTGAGGTTAGAGCAAGTGCTTGTGATTCCGTCATGCGATTACGATCACAGTCGTCTGCTCTTGTTTTGCACCCAATCGTTGGATTTGCGGTGAGTTTCGAACCAATTATTCTAAAATTTTTATACAATTTCTTTTTAATAGACCCATTGGGTCTCGTTAATTTTTTTTTAGACATTACGAGACCCAATGGATCTGCTCGCATCGAACAAAGGCTGCTGACAGCCCATGGGAGGCTTGTCGGCGTCCCTATTAATTCCACAACAGCCCACATGGGCTGTCACACACTCAACCACATCTATGACAGCCCATGTGGGAAGGTTGTTTGTTCGTATTTTTTTTCCTATAAATTTCAACTTTCTCACATCAATTTTGACATTACTTTTCACACTCAATCTATTTTTCTCAAAATATGGCGACAGAGATTTTGCGAATATTTTCTCAACTATCTCTTAACTTCTTTTCGTCACTCTTTGTTTGTCAAAAACAAGTTTATTGTCATTCGATTAAATCTCGCGCACTTGTGATTGTGATTAGGAATTGAAAGTTGCATATTTTCATCCTAGGTTGTTGTTACGTTGTCAAAATGCTCCTCAATCAAAGTTCCAATGACAACGAGGGGTTGTTCTTTTGTCACAACTGCAGCCTGACAGTTCCAATGGCATACTCCTTCAATTCCAAATCCAAAGGGGGGATTATTCATTCGTGGCGTGGCCCAGATTTTGTAAGCAGACATGTAATGCCCTCCGACATGGATTTGCCTTTGACATATTTGTAACGAATATTTGTTTATTTGTTCAAAATATTATTAAATGTGTAATATCAAGCTATCAAAAGCTATGAAATTTTATATTTCAAACTATGGAAGTTGTAATCATGTATTATATGATTTATATATGCCATGTAATCGACAATTTATTTATTAACAATACACAAAATATTTTAATTAAATACTATATCATGAAACGTGCATATACAAAATTGTATGCTGAATTTTTTACGGCTTTCTAAAAAAAACAACAAATTACAAGCATATATTATGTTGTAGTTTCATACAACAAACAACGTTCAAATTCTTATTTTCTTATGAATTATGTTCACAAATGAAATTTCGTAATGTTTAGTTAAATACACATACATTCATTCCAATCAAACTCTAGTCTAGTCTACTCAAGTTCATAAACAGTATGAATATGTAAATGTAGACTTTCGGATACCTACACGCGCATTAGAGTGGCGAAACTTTGAATAATATTGTGTTTGCCGAAAAACGGGTGAAATGGGACATGTTTGTAATCGGCCGGCCAAGAACCAAATTCGCATTTGGAAAATACGTTTCGAAAAACGCATTTCTCAAACGCGTTTTTGTCGCCGGCGAAAGTCTAAAGCATAGCCGCATTTGGGAAATGCGGCTATCGTATGCTATACGACAGCCGCATATCCCAAATGCGGCTTTGTGTATACGACAACCGCATTTGGGAAATGCGGCTGTTAGCGACGTGGCATTTCGCCACAACTGAGTTTGGGAAATGCCATTTTCAGCCCAACCGTGTTTCCCAAACTCGGTTTTCCTATTTTTGTCAAAAAAAAAAAAAAAAACATTCATATTATTGTCCATAATCCTTTGTCTGTTCCCATTTCAGTCAAAAATCATATATATATATATATATATATATATATATATATATATATATATATATATATATATATATATATATATATATATATATGGAAGGGTTCAGGTGCGGGTATAGCTTACCGTGCGGTTGTGCGGTTAAATCTGAGCAGTTGATCAAATTTAGATCAACGGCTCAAATCAATGAAAAAAAAAAACGCGTGCATGGAACAAAGAAGTATAAGCTAAGGTGCACCTTAAGTGTTAGATCTTAATCACAAACTCACGCACTTTAAGTACAAAACCAACATAGATTAAGCACAACCTGACGCACATTAAGCACAAAACTCACGCACTTTAAATATTAACTCACAGACTTTAAGTTTCAACAACTACTGACATTAAGTACAAAACTCACGCACATTAAGTACAAAACCCACGCACATTAAGCACAAACATCACGCACATTAAGCACAAAACTCACGCACTTTAAGTATTCACTCACAGACTTTAAGTTTTCACAACTATTCACGTTAAGCACATCACCACGCACATTAAGCACAAACCTCACGCACATTAAGCACAAAACTCACGCACATTAATCACAGATCCGCTCACCTTAATTTTGACCTAGATGCAAAAATTACAAAATTGCCACGGCATTTTTTTTTAAAATTTTGATAATCCTGGACGTTGATTAAAGCGAGATGAATGGCTCAGATTAAATCGCACAACCGCACCTGAAGCCATCACCCGCACGAGAACCTAAATCTATATATATATATATATATATATATATATATTTGACGCCCCGGGATGAATAGGACCCAATCAATCTTAAGACGATTTGTCGTGGTTTTGGTGAGCAGCCAGCTTATATCCTAATAATTGGCCTGAACTGGTTTACTTTCTCCGGGTGAGGAACCTTAGGTATTAGACTTATCTCCGCCGTCCGTCCTGCTCCTTTTCATCATCTCAGACCTCGTCTTCCACTTCACAACTATCTTGATCGATTTTCTTGTCTGTCTCTCTCTGATCCATTCCCCCTTGTTCGACTTCAATTCCATGGCTGACACTTCAACTTCTCCACTCACCTTCTTCTTCTTTCGAGCAAGTCCTGTACTGTTCCTCAGGGCCAGTAGGGGCTTGGAGAGTTTCAGTATTCACTATTCACCATGTCGATCTGCTTATTCTTATTTGGTTGTTTATTTCTTCAATACTTATTCCATAGTCCAAAAAACATCATTGTTTTGTGTAATTTTTTTTTTCATACGAACAGCAATATTATACATTTTTATAACTCATAATATATATTATTCTAAATGTACATTAATTAATTATATTACTCCAAAAGTTTCAGTATTCAAATACGTAATGTACATTATTTTTACTCTTAATATTCAACAATGTCGTTTTGGACCATAGTCCAGACAATAATTTACTTTATTTGTTCCTTTTGTCATTGTGGTGGAAGTTAATTGTGTAATGAATAGAAATTCCAAATCAAAGGTATTGTTAAATTTAAATCAAAACAGAGATATTTCACCAAGGACCTTGTGGTCTATTGATACCAAGTTGTTTTTCTATATGGAAGGGTGACATTCGATGTGCTGATAATTAAATTCTAGACACTGTAGAATATACCTTTGAATTATATTGTCTTTTTAAAAAAAAAAAAATTATTAAACTGATAGTAAAGAAAGGATACAATCAGGTAGATAAGTATCCCAAAGTCGAGAATTTATCAATCAGGTAGATACGTATTTCAAAATTGAGAATTCATTAATTGAGAGTATGCAACTTTGGCTAAGGTATGAGCTAGCAGGTTCACTAATCTCTTAATAAAATGAGAAACAATGCAAGAAATTGAAAAGAGGACATGATATTAAAGCAGAGACATGAGAGAATTGAAGTCCAGTTGTTTATGAGTGAAGCTAAGGCTGATACCGCATGATATTGAGGTTGTACCTTAGCTGGATATATATGATCTTTTAAGCATGAAAGGGCTTCTCTGATCTGATCTTACTTCAATTCCGCCATGTAAGGATGGATAGCGTGTAGTCTTCCGATCAGTTAGTGACTCCGCTCCTCTTTCTTTTGGTTCACTACTTAAATTTTGCCAGATCCATTAGGGCCACCACAATTTGTCTTGTTCCAATAACAAAAACCCAAATTATCCTTATATATATTACAGTTAAGTCACAAATTAAATGTGAAGCACAACTAATGATTAACTGTACCGTCTACGATAACATTTGCATAAGTAGTTAGCTTAGCTTTACAAAGTTGACAAAATTGGGTTTAATTTTTCAACTCTAAAACAACTACAACTAAACGCCAATGGCAATGGATGACTTGGAAGCAGAGGCAGATATCCACAACTAATTCATGTATATATGTATGTAATCCATAAGCCCTCTCATGTCACAACTGAACCAATTTGGAACTTAGATGCGCTATCCATTCCTCGACATATATGATATCAGCATTCCATCTCATCTTGCAGAAGAATTTCATAAATATCCGTCCTTAGATTCAGTTCTTTATCCCGCATTACTTCCTGGAGATCTGAGAGCTCCTTTGCAGTGAGTATGGCATTTAGCTTCAGAAAACCATCAAGCCATAACTTTTTTGACCTGCATAAAAACACGCATCTGTAACTCATGCTAATGTTACGTTGAAGAAAACTAAAAGTTGTAAGATTCTCTCTGCAACTCACAGCTTAAAACATGCAAGCATTTAGGGCTAGCACTTCACTCGCCCACTACACTGTCACTTAAAATTAAAAAAATAAAAATTGCATACAAGGGAAAAGAAGCAACTCAAAACCTACGACATCCACCAGCAGCAAACCTGTGACCCTGGGGGAGGGGGAAGGGGTGATTCAAATATATGGAGACCAAGTTGGCCTTGATCATCATGTCTACGCAAACTTTTTACAGATCATTCTGATATGCATATTAAGCAGAATCATTTCTGGTTCAAACAGCAATTCTATTCTTTAGCCTCAACAGCTGTGCACATAATTCTGTTATCATATTTGGAGAACAGATCAATGAGACATAGACTTAAGATTTATCTAAGAAAATTTGTGGCACAATGTGCTTGGTAGATTATCACAAAGCACTGTCATCACAGAGGAATTTTACCATGGGCAAGCATGGACCGCTCGGAAGAAGACTCTTCTTGCAGCTGATGCGTTGCATGTTATATCATGTTCATATGTGATGTAGCTACGCCAGATTATCACCGAATTCCGCAGTTTCTCATCCTCTAATGCCCTCTCAAAAAGTCTGCGTATTCTATGCTGGGAACCACCTCTACTTATCTCGAATGACAATGCAAATAGCCAATTAATAACAGATGGTTTCCTGGAAGTTTAAACAGAGAAGATCATGAAGAGTAATCAGTTATGAGATTAATCTAATCTACACTATAAAGGTATACAGGCCATTCTTGACTGACAGTCTAAAATATGTCAGATTACCTGAACATGGCATTCACTTATTATCAGAACAGATAGATGATTAATAAGCAACTTGAAAAAGTAAACAGGTGAACAAGTCTACAGCAAATGATCCATTTAAGTAAGCTACAAAATTATGACCATACTTCTAAAAGATACTCACTCTGTCCCATTATGCAAGGGGTAGTTGTGTTTAGCACAGTTTTTTTTTTTTTAAAAACCAAATAAATGTGATTTTATTCCCAATTTGCCCTTCTAAATGGACCCACCTAGTCAAATCAATTGAAGAATTTAAAAGGTTTTAAGGGTAAAATGGAAAAAAGTAAAAAGTTAGTGGTGTTTAAATTAGGAATCTGGACATTGGTTTGGGACAGATTAAAGACAAATAAAGAGGGGAATGGGGTCAAAGGGACTACATTTTAATGATAACCTGATTATTGTTACAGTCTAAGAGACTCGCCCTCAATTACTAAGTCATTAAATAAAAGACTACAACACCTCTCTGTTTATCAGCTTCCAAAGATCATTGGAGATTTAAATGCCACAACTGAAGATGTTTGGATACTACCATACCAAAGTGGAGCTGGAAAATCACTCTCCCTCACACTATAGGAGTAATTATATTACTCATTAGAGTAAACAAGAGAGAAATGAAGGAAAGTTTCGGTGAGGCTGTCTGGGAGGGAAATGAGGTCAACATGATCAAAAGCAGGAGCAATCAACTATTCTCTTCATGGTAGAGTCTGGGGCACTGAGTCTGACCTATTATATGTTCTCATGGATTGGGACTGGAACTTGTTTAACAATTAAACCAATAGTTCAGATTTGCAAATGGCCTGGAGGTCAAGGACAACACTTTTTCATACAAATCTTCCATAAGGCCTTTTACCAGTGTTAGGTAACTTCAGAGATGTAAGATTTGTGATAATTGATATAGATCCAGAGTCAACTAATAAAAATATGCCAAATATTTCATGCATAGCAACATTCATCAAATATAGATCATGGAATAATGAAGTATTCCATGATCTGCAGACATAGCATAAGGACTTACTTTTTGCAGTATTCATCAAATACCAGCCTTAGCTTATTTGGCGAAGTGTAAAGATGGCTGATTTGAACTAATGCACTGTAAAGTTTTGGACTGAAAGGATACATCTGCAGCCCGTTCAATATAGACTGCCACACTTTTGATAGCTTTACTTCTCTGTGATGTTTAGAAAGCATGGCAACATAATAGTTGAACAAAGATTCTACATGATAGCTGTTCCTTCTTCTTTCTGCAGAAATGCGTTATTAGAATAGTGATACAGAACAAAAGTCAACAGTAGGAGATGGATTCAAACAATATTGGTAAAGCACAAGGGAAACACCATATAAATATATGATAGCTGTAACTAAGATAAAAATGCCAATGCTTGTTATTGGTAATACAAGAAAGGACCAAATAGAAATGACTTTATTGAACATAAGGTTTTGTCATGGACAACTCCATTACAACCCCCCCCCCCCCCCCCCCCACCACCACCCCCAAAAGCCTCTTTTTTTGGCTTTACTAGTTAGGATTTGTTGTAAGGGAGGAATCCTCCCAGTTAGAAGCATTCCTAGTTTTTCAACTTTCAATTTTTGTTCTAGGTTAGCTTGTTCACCTATCACAGGTAAGGAAGTAAGATTTAATTCCCCTCTTTGAATTATGATGTTTGATATTTATAAAATAACTAGGGGATTGGCAATGTTCCTTGCCACTCTACTGGTAACCTTGCAGGATTTATAAAAATAAAAAAAATTACACCCAAGTATGCCTGCTAAAGATAAATTGGGCAGAATATATAAAGATGATTTGGACATGACATAGGCCTACGGTTAGGGTAAAAAATATATGCAGTAGAAAGTTATGGTTAGAAATATAAAGTGCAATATTGATTACCGGGAAGAACCATTGAAAATGCCTGGTCAAAAATTTCAGCACTTGCTCTCCATCCAATACTAATTTCCTCAAACAAAGCGGCTGAACATACAAGAGCAACTGACTGGTCATCTATCCCACCACGTGTCCAGGTTGAACGTAGCAAATTTATTCTCTCTCTAAATCCTTGGCGTGCTCTCAGCTGCAGCAGACTCGATGGTTGACATTTGTAAGGAGTGTATTTCACACCACTTCCCAGGCAAGATAAAATGTGTAAAGCACGGAGCAATGATTCTGGACTACCATGAGAAAAGTTTGCCAGCTCTACTTCAGCATACCAGAGATATAACAGAGACTCGTTTCTCCGAACGTCCTGCATCATTAAAAAAGCACAAATAGGAATCATCCTCTAAAGGAAAAATGTCACACTAAAGGCAATACATATGATGAAGATATATCACCCAATAATGAAATCTGAATGGGGATCTTCTTAGGAAGGAGACTAACACAGGCTTGCAGCCTGGTTAGCCTGTCAGAACAAGGAGAATTCTCCCATCAAGGGTAAAACTCCTGTTCTGAAATGCACCCAGCTGCTTTTAGTTCATAGCTTGAGCCTAATGAAACCCCATTAAGTTTTCAAAATCATGCTAACTACATCCTCATTTTTTAATTTTTATGAACTTATAACATCATCAAATTTATCCTGTAATGACCAAAACATGGCTTGCAGGTTTAGTTGCTGTCCAATGAATTTGGTCTTCAGAAATGTTGAGTTCACTATTCTGTGTTCTTTCACAATCCAGGGAAATGTTGAATTTTCTTGTATATGTTGTGAACATTGTCAAAACAGGTGATGATATGGTTGGGATTCATGAACTTAAGCAGCTTGTACAAGCAATTCAACATTTGGACTTGTGTCTTTGATTCTTTGAAGCATTTCCTCCACTTCTTTCTTTCTTCACCATCCGGTTTGTTCGGTCAAAGTTATAATAATAGTATTTTTCTAAACTTGCTGTCTTGGTGCGTTAACCACACTCTGTATTAGCTGGAAACACTAATAAATAGGGGCAATCAACATCCCGCAAACCATGAAGGGGTTATTCGCATATTTCACAACCAGAATGAGGAAGTGCCTGGAGCTGGGAAACTAGAAAATAATAAGACTGCATTTTCTCATGAAATGATGAACTAGGATTTGTTCTATTCAGAAGAAATACTTTGGAGAATTCCAGTTTATATGTGATATAGGACATGAAAAAAAGTAGGAACTAGGAACACAAGGAAAAAGAAGGGAAAGAAAATGGCAGAGAAGGGGGTGGGGATACTAAAAAATTTACTGCAGATAGAATAGAACACAGGCATGAATAGAACACAGGCATGAGAGGACAACGATCTGTCATAAGCAGTGTTTCAATTCAAAAATGCAGCTTCAACTGATAAATGTCATGCTTATACCATAAAATCCCAAGAATACAAACTCAAACCCAAAACAGTACACTGATAATTTTCATAGCATGAAAGCTTGAGCATCGTGTAACAACCAATCACAAAATATGTGAGGAAAAAAATTAACAAGCTTTTCAACCACAACGCTCTAAACAACTTTACCCAAAGGTCTTTTGGAGCAAATCACTAGGATAATAGAATTACCTTGCAAGGTCTGGTTTCTAAATTTGGAAACCCGGTAATAATAACAACTTGAATTTGTTGCGATATATTTTACATGAATTGTAATTGTTCCACACCAATCATTAAGGGGGCATTTGGTTCACTACTTTGAGCTCAGGAATGGGAGTGGAAGCAATTGAGATGTTTGATAATTGACATTAGATTTGTGGCCTCTAGGAATGGGATTTGGAGAAGGGAAGGAATGGGTTTTCTCATTATCCCTCCTACCATAAGTTTCATTCCCATTCCAGCATTCCTCATTATTTTTTCTTTTCTTTTAGTATTAGTGTTAGTGTTAGCAATTTAGCATTAGTATAGTTGTTACTATTACACTATCACTATCACTATTGTAGTATTGTTTGGATTTACTACTTGATTTTTAATAATAATAATAATAATATAATAATAATCATCATCATCATCTATGAAATTTTAAAAATTATTATTATAATATATTTTTTCCTTCGATTCTAATTCCAGGGTTGGTCACTCCAAAGAGGCCCACTTTGATTTATGATTCTAATTCTGATATGCCCCTTAATAAAAATTCAGAGTACCAAACTAACTTACAACAGCATAATCCATTTAAATTTCCTTTTCTCCATATGTATTCAAATTAAGGTGAAGGCAATAACATCTTGATACCTCATAAGCGATGGCGGTCATGTACTCAAATTTTTAATTAGGCAGAGCCAGGAGAGGCTTGATTTTGTACTCCAATTCAATGGAAGGAAGAAAAATGCATGGAAGTAATTTTCAATCACCACAGGCATATAGCATGATTAGCATAAACCACGTAAAGTTTAAGTACTAAAAACTAAAGTTAGGAACATACCACAGGAAGCCCTTCAATGGATGACAATGCCATGTCAAAAATCTTTCTAGCATGATCAATATTCCCAAACACTGCTTCTCTCTGTGCATAGACTCCACATAGCAATATATCCTATAGTAGATATATAAATAAAATAAGGAAAAATCAAATGGAAAGTGTTTATGTGCCCAAACATCAACATTTCCACAAAATCTTTACCAGGAAAGGCGGAAATGAAAGGAAAATAAACTATCAAGCACAAATTTCATCTTAAAGAGGGATGAGTGAGACAGTGTGGCATCATCAACAAGTGACGGAGTACTTGCTTCGAATAGGTTATCAATAAAACTTCAGATATTGCACTAAATCATGTAACCACAGAAGCATTAGATTCCTACACAACAGTAAAAAGCTGAAAGCCAAAATATTTTCATCAAGACACAAACCTACTTAAAATTTAAAACAATCATGATTATTAGAAACCAAATATTTTAAAATATATACCTGAAAACTCATGCAGTCAAAAGTGTTCCTTAAACTTGAGACTCGAGTATTATATTTACCTGGCGGTTACTTTTCAATAGACTCTTTGCAAGCACTCGACAAGGGGTGACTGAACAGCTGGATGAATTCATCATGGTATTTGACAGCTCCTCAGCAACAAGAGCTGCTTCTTCAAGGATGAAATTTTGTGGGAATACAGTCATGCAAAGCAATGAAGCATTACGGAGAAATTTCATCATATTGGTGCGCATAGATATGCCATTAGCACTGCTCAAAAGATGCTCCAAACTGATACCAACTGGGTTTCCCTCACTTTTTGTTAAAAAATCATTAACTCTCAGTTCATCTAACAAAGGATCCGTCAGTGCCTCCAGACTAAGGGTCTTCTCCACCCAAGTAGAACTATTAGTGCAAGTCCTGCAAGTAAAGTGAGCAAGGAAACTAATTGTTAGATATTCATGGCAAGATTACTCTGTACTAAAAAGCATAATGTGGTCAAAAAATAACAAGCTTATCTTCTTATTTTAATGAACATATGTTGAATGTGGTTATTCTTAGAATTTTACCCTCAACTCGGAAACCCCATTTTTTGTCAACTAGAGGAAAAAGTGGGAGTGAGGGAAACCTCCATTTAGAAACCAAAAAGTTCTGCTTGAAGCTTAAGAGAGTAGATCAAATTTGGCTGACTTTCTCAGTTGTGAGCCAATTGTGATGAATGTGTGTGGTAGCAATGTGAAGCCAGCTTGATATCTATTAAAAAGAAAAATGATCCCTGCAAACCAGTTTATCCTTTTCATTCAGTGTTTTACTATGGACATTGCTTACTTTATCCCTGTATGTAATTATGTATCCTGACATATTTAGTATTTTAGTTCTCTCAATTCCAACAAGATAGTTCCTTCTGCAATTTGTGCATTCTTATCCCTCTGAAGTGCGTCTGGAACAATTAATTGTTAATTTAGGGTTTTTTCGGGCTAAAAAGTGTTATATAATCCATAATATACAATTTTTACCAAATATGCAGAAGTGGTTTATTTAATCCATAATCTCATCATTTTGCTTAAAGAAGCTTTACCAAATGGGCAACCCATAGCAACTGTTTTTCAGCTTCTTAATATCTGCATATATTTTGGTCTTTACTTTTGGTACTTTTATCATGATTTTATCTTTAAATAGTTGGATTGACTGACTAAAACAAATTCATTACTGTGTATAAAATTATTAGTCACCTTTACAATATTAGCCAAAGTTGCAACTTTATCTAGTTATCACCAAGCTGGTTTTTTATTTGCTATGGACCTAATTTTTTACCCAAGTCACAGCCATTTTAGTCTTGCCAAGTTGTTTTGAATAGCAACTATAGGCTGTAATTAGTGGCACAGTCAATGCAATTATTACTTTCTGCATGAAGATGGTAAGGAGCAGCAGCTCTGCAGCAATGCAAGTAGACAGTTGAGTAGCAAACATGTCCATTTGGCCCAGCTTGCTTTGGAGCTTATCTGCTCCAAAATGCAAACGCTAACTATAGAATGGCTTTTCACAGCACATAAGAGGAAAAGTCCTCTTTTTCAAGAAGCTCCAAATTAAGGCTTAAAATTTTAAATAAACAAAATAAAATAAAATTAAACCCTTTTTTTATTAAGAAGCAACCACTGAGCCACACTGCATATGGAAACTTATTTATGAGTGATTAAAAAAAGCTTGTTCAGCTCCTTCCATGTTTGATAGAGCCAGCAAATCAACAACCAAATAGCTAAACAATTGACACAGTATTCACTCTATTTAGAACTATAACCTCTTTTTTTTTTTTTTTAATCCTGAGAAAGGTAAATTAAAACAACAAACTTTTCTGTCAAATAGAAGAGTACTTAAGTAAAGTCATAGTAGGTCAGTAGAGGTGTGAGGAAAATTTGTACTAGTTCTCTTTGTAATAGCAGAATCATCTCATTGTAGATGGGGGTGAGTGGATAATGCAATATTTCCTCTAAGATGCCTAGCTCCCTCTTTCTTTCATGAAAATTGCACTTTCTTTAATGCACTTCCCTCTGTCCTTTCAGAGCATTCACATGATTTCCCAATTCCCACAACACAGATTCATTTACTTCCCTTTGAGATTTAAGACATGGAAACTTGAATCAAAAGCCATCTCCAACTATTAAACTGGTGCAAAATTTAAGGCATATATGCATAAAACCTAACAAGCTAACACAAATAAATCATGAAAAAAAACTCCAAAACTGACGCACATTGGAAACAATGATATCAAGTATGCAATAATATGTACCATTGAGTCATCCTCCCGCCATAGAAATCAATAAATTGGGATACCAGAGACAAGCGTGCTTCCTTAGAATATATTGAGAATAAGTAGTCACTGACATCCTCATATTCTATTACTCTCAAAAGTTGGTCATCGTCTGCAGCATGATATGGTTCATAAGTTCATTGCCATTGTAAGTGTCAGCTATATCACAGTATATCACAGCCATACTCCATTTGAAAATTACTTTTGGGGATAGATAATAGCAGAAAGGGATTATGAGGCTAGGCAGAGGAAATTTCCTTGAAATTCACACTGAAACTGGGAAAGAGATACTAACCACAATTTGCACGAACAGGCATCCACTGGTCTGAATCCCTTTCTACCTCTTCTTCTGACCACCTAGCCCATGTTCTTGTGTCTTTGACCTCACCATTCACTTCAGCAGCAGCAGCATCAATCCCAAGCATTTTCAACAAAGCTTCAGTATCATCCTTCTCATCAGCTTCTTGCATTTCAGCTCCATCCTCTAACTCCTCGAGAACACCATCACTATCTATCACCTTTTCTGAAACTTCATTAATTTCTTTGATTTTCGATAATGGTTCTGACCAACCAGTCCAACCACCTTCGTCAACATTAGTTGAAGATTCCTCCACTGCCCGTTGTCTCTGTTCTTCCTCCTTTTCTAACCATGTTGACCAGCCAAGTGCTCCATCTTCCCCAACTCTAGCACCATTGCTACTCCAAAAATGTTCAAAAAGTCTTTGTTTACTGTTTTTGCTAAGAAGTAAAGAAGGGGAGAACAAGCTATATTCAATCTCTGCTTGAAACAAGGCAGTAGCCAACTCTTTGTACCCCGCTTGCCACTCAAACCGACAGAGAGACATAAATATATCAACTAAACCAACTTCTAGTTTTACAATAGCTGGATCAAGAGAAACTGGCATAGCACCTTGGCAGACCTATACCAAAGAAAAACAATGGAGCCACAATAAAAAGATGAAAAGTTATAATATGACAAAAGTGAATGCTAAGTGATCTCAAGAGAAAGAAAAGTCAAATGTTTGCAAATCAAGATCAGAATGATAATCACATAAGTTTACAAGAATACATCCAGAGTCAAAACCTGCCTGTGCTGCTTATGACATTACTTTGTTCAAAGTGTGGTTATTACAATAGAATATTCTTTAGATGATGGGAAAGACCAACAGTATTTGCCCTCAATAAATCAATAATACAAAATCACTTCATGTAGCACCGTATTTTAATTGATAAAAGATAAAAGAAATTTAGTGATAACAGCCAGAGAAAGAAAACATCAAAAACATTAGACACAATGAAACCAAATGAGGTGACTAACTATAAATTAACAATATCTTTTATGATTATCTGTAGCTCAAAGATGAGAATGAAAGGAATTTCAAAAACCAAATCTCAAGAGCAAGAGAACTCAAATATATGCATATCAATATCAGAAAGATGACAAACACTTAGGTTATATGAATATGTCAAGAGTTGAGACCTGCCTATGCTGCTTACTGCATGCACCAGATAAAGCTTGTACTGCATTTGCATAAATTTTTCTCATTTCGGACACCTTGAATCTTGAAAATTCACCCTGAACAAACCGCAAAAATTCTCTCCACAAAGTATAACTGTCAGAGTTTTGCAGAAGTATCCTTTCCCACCGACTTATCAAGACATCTATACTATCTCTGCTCTGGTAAGCATTCATAAGAGAGAGAAGCAGGTCTTCACTATCTGGATTAAGTTCAGTAGCCTTCTCCAGAATACTAATCTTCTTTTCAAGTATTTGAAGACGAGCGCCTTTATGTGGCTGCATACTGGCAACCTTGTCCTGAAAATCAGCGAAGTCCAACCAAATTTTCTCATCCTGTGGTCGTTCTCTTGTCATCTTGTTGAACTCCTTTGTCTTGCAAAATATTTCATCTTCCCATGATTCCTCCACTACAGTAGCTCCTGAAACTGATTCACCTCCAGATCCTTCATCAATCAAAGGGATAAAATCAACAGAATCTTTCAACTGGGGCCTTGCATGAGAAAAAATTCGCGTTCGCTTCAAGTTCTTATGACGCTCCACAGCAGCATATTTTGCAGACCAGTAGCGACCCTCAGCTCTGAGCTTGCTATCAAATGCATCAACATCACCGTCTGGATCAAAAATGCTATTATGGTTCCGCCAACAATAATTAAGCTCAAATGTTTTCCTAGTGTTATGAAGTTTGTACCGAGCAACATCCATTCTGCACTATCACAAATTAAATTCCAAAGTTACATTTGCCAGTAATTTACTATAACAAAGTAGATGGTAAAACATGTTAGCCCAAACACTATTTGGTAACAGAAACAACCAAGACACTCTCTTTTATTTCATGAACAAGTTTAACCAAATGTCCAGGGAGAAAATACAGTAAAGGAGGGAAAAAGTAGCATTTGAAGAAACATGGGTTTTTTGCTATTTAAAAGTTTCTATATAACTAGAGGCCATTTTGCAAGCTAATTCCACTATTTCCTTGGTCTCAAATTTCAAACATAAGAAACCAAAATATAAGATGAAATCATATTCTATTTCTTGTAGGGTGCTCTCTCCTTTCATCAGCTCCTCCGGACAGCAAAGGAACTCTACTTCAAACCAAGTAAGACCACAAACTCAATCTCACTTGAATGCTATAGTTAAGCTCATAAAACAACTGCAAACCATCCTTACTGACCATTCCACAAGCAAAAACAGAGTGTAAGAGAAACAATTCACTCCAGTATCCATTCTACAGATCGCATAAGAATTTGGAACAAAATAATTAACCACATATCACTGAATTTGGCAATAAATAAGAATGTGATAAGCCAATGCCATAAGCCCATAATCAAAATTAATTACAAAATTTAAATGGTGAAAAGACAAATACTTGTATAGGCATCCAAAGGCCAAATTATCACGATCTCCACGGGAATCAAAGTAATAGTCTCTGTCATTAGTGGCAGCAGCAGCAGAAGACGACGCCCAGCTTCCCACATCTGGTTTTCGTGAAGAAAATAGAGCATGCTCGTATGGCTTACGCGCATCAGCGGAGCGTTCCCTCCTCCGCTTACGCTTCTTCATCCGCCTTTTCCTTCTGTTGTCCCTCTCTTCGTCCGAAGGAGAAGAAGAGGGGCCGCGGTCTGATGCGGAAGAGTCCAGCAACTCGTACTGTGCTCTTTCTTTATTAGAGCCCTTATCAACTTCTTCTTCTTCCTCCTCTTTGTCTTCGTACTGGAAGGGGGCATGGCGGTGGTGCGCCGATAGGGAGTCGTTTATGACGGAGAGGTTGGTCGTGAAGCTGGAGTTGCGAAGCCATTCCGGAACGGCGCCGGCGCCGGCGGCAGCAGAAATTGAGAATTGAGGGGAAACTGGAAAGAGAGATGACGTCGTTTTAGGCTCTTCACTTGTCTCTTGCTTTTGTTGCGCAGATTCGTCTTCTTCCTTCTCCATGTCTCCAGACTCCAGTCGAAGTGAGGAAAACGTCTCGCCCTGCAAGTTTAAGCCATTTTGAAGGAGAAATTTACCAAAAGACTTTATTACCGATTTGATCCATGGAAGGATTTCACTAATTTGGTCTTTCACTACCAAATTTTCTTAATTTTTTTTTTAAAAAAAAAATTCTTAATTTATTCCTAGAAAAAGTCACTATAATAGATGATTAAATTGAATATCATTATTATTATTATTATAATCAAAAATTAACTTAGATAAAATTATTATACTCAATAACTAAATGAAAAATTAATATAAGTTAAATTACCACACTATCTTAATAGAGTATTCAATTAAGTAAAATCATTAAAATGTATAATTTATAATATAATTAAGCACAAAAAAATCAATTAAAATTAAATAAAAAAATCATTACATTCGAGAACTAAATTGGATATTAACTCTTATCAAAATCATCCATAAACTATGTTGATTTGGTAATTTATATTCTATAACTTAGTCCACATCCATAAATGTTCGTGGCTTAATTTTAATAATAGTATGTCACTTGTGCGCGCACGAAAAATTTGTTGTAAAATATATGTTATATTATTATAATAATATATTATAAAAATTATATGAAATGAATATAATATTATTTATTAGTTATAACAAGTGAGATTGTATTATAATTTCATATATTAAGATTTAATTGAATGCATAATACATTAAAATTAGAAATTTGTAATGTGTAATTAGTAAACGTAATAGTCTAACCCAACAGAGTAGTTTAAGTGGCAAATGAGTTCTCTTTGTGAGGGAATTATGGGATAATTTAGGTTTGATTCTCATAAGTAATGATTCCCTCTAGGCTAGCTTTAGTCAGGGGGAGGTAGCCAGGAAATTAATTGATAGCAAATCGGCTTTTATAGATTACATGATAGTTAGAGTTGGAGCCAAAAATATACTTGTGCAGGGTGAAAGTGTAAAAGTATTTATGACAAAATATGAAACATAATCCATTAGATAAATTTTTTTTAATAACACTATATTTCATAAATACTTCTAAATTTTAATTTTTTTAGTTAGATCAATTTTAAGTTTTTCTGAATTAATTTGAATACAATGAAGTAGCAGGCTAATGAAGTAGATCAACTAGTAAATTAATTCGTATAAATTTATATAAAGTATAATATAAACTTGTGTACTACATTAAGTAAATGATTCATAAAAGTAGACTAAAAAAATATTTAATTTATCTTAGAAAGGAATGAAAGAGATAAAATAAACAAGTGTTGTTGATGAGTTTTGAACCCATGACCATATACTTCTAATTAAAATCAAATTTGGAGTCCAACTAACTAAACTACTCAAAAGATTAATACATTAAACATAAATATAAATTTTATATAACATTTATATATATATATATATATATATATATATATATATATATATATATATATATATATATATATATATATCTACTATACTAATATCTACTATACTAATAAGAGCCCAAGAGAGTTAGGCCTATAATGGGTAGAAAAAATGGCGGTCACAGATTTTAATCAAATGAATGGCTCAGATTGATCCGATTTTAATTTCTCCTTTAAGATTTCCTAATTTATCCTTAATGAATATGATTATCCGTTAACTTTTCCGTTAAATATTATCTTTTCCGTTAATTTCTGTTAGTTCACCGTTAACTTACTTATTGATTTTAATAAGAAAGGTCTTAGGTTCGAACCACATCCCAATCAAAGTTGACATAATTATTACTCTATTTTACTTTTATTAAGTTAAATAATAAAAAAAGTTAAATAATAATTTAGTAGCTACAACAAAAAATAATACATATGCATTTCTTTAATTTAGAATTATGTGTCTACAATGTCTTTATTCAAAAAAAAAAAAAATTATTCATTATCAATCAATTAAATAAGATAAATAATTTCATTAGTTATATTGTCTTTATTTTTCTACAATATAAAAATTCTTTACATTCAAATTCATCGATTGATTATATTCGCCCTACAATGTCTTTATTAAAAAAATTTATTCATTATCAATAAATTAATTAAGAGAAATAATTTTATTAGTTATATTGTCTTTATTTTTCTCCAATGTAAAAATTATTTACATTCAAATTCATCAATTGATTATATTCACTATATTGTCTATTATCTTTTTTGTGCACTATTTTTTAATTAAATATCAAAGTTATACAAAATAATGCTATATATTTATTTACCAAGTATTTTATTAATACCATGAAAAAAAAAATTAAAAAATATAATTAATAAAGCCAATCATATTAACTACTTGAGGGATTTGTCGACAAAGAGAGTATTCAAATCACACAACAAATTGATGTGAGAACCACCTCGCAATGTCCTTGTTTGACAATCAGTAGTTAGCGGATTATATTAGCGGATTTGACTAACGAATTATATCAACAGTTGGTAAAAAGATATTTGAAAAAATTAGCCGTTTAGATTAACATGTAAAATGACCTAAGGGTATACATAATAATAATAATAATAATAATAATAATAATAATAATAATAATAATAATAATAATAATAATAATAATAATAATAATAATAATAATAATTGTTTTAAAAAAAATAAAAAATATATATAATTAAGTCAATCATATTAACTACTTGGGGGATTTATGGACAAAAGGAGCATTCAAATCACACAACAAATTGGAGTGGAAACTACCTCGCAATGTCGTTGTTTGGCCATCAGCAGTTAGCTCTTCAATATGAGTATATATTTAATATTTTATGCCCTAATTTTTATTTGATCTCCCTTATATCCAGTATTTGGTTTCAACCATATCTATACAATTATTTTATTGACAATTATAATCAATCTTAATTATATTATCTTGCATTTGTAAACTTATAATTACCTATTTAAATACGTAAATTCAACATTCAATTATCTATGCATGAACAATTCGAATATAATCTTGCTTTGATATACTTTCAAGTACTTATTTTTTTTTTAAAAATGGGCATTATCTCAATCGCGCAATGCGTGTAAAAAACTAGTATATATATATAAAGGGATGGGGTGGGGGGAGTGGGGGCATCTGCCCCCAGGCTAGCTCCGTCCATGGCTTCAGTGCCTCTCGAAGTGAACTGGGTGGACCTGGGAAACCTAGTTTTTTTTTTTTTTTTTTTTTTTGCTTCTTTATTGACTAGGGTAAAACTAGGGTTTCGGTCTCTCTAGGGAAACCTAGGTTATTTTTACGTTTTCCGATCGGTAACTACGGCGGGAAAGCCGGACTTCTACGACGAGCAGCGCAGCTACGACCTAACGTGCGGCGTGAGGCAGTGTGTAAGCAGCAGCAATGGCGGAAGAAAGCGGTGAGGTTGAGAGGTTGACGGCACAGTGGGAGGGTTTTGATTTGGAGGATGAGTTTGTGCCGGAGGGAGAAGGGGTTGGCGAACTCCAGGACAACGACGAGGAGACATGGGCTGTTGTTGGCAGGTTCCTAACTACGAAACTGGTCAAATTGGAGTTCATGAAGCAGGTTATGGCATCCGTATGGCAACCGGTGAGGGGGGTGCAGATTACGGAGATCCAACCAGGACTTTTCTTGTTTGTCTTTTACCATAAGACGGACTTAGATTACGTCTTGGATGGGGGTCCATGGGGTTTCGAAAATAATTCTTTGGTATGTCGGGAGGTGGTGGCCGGAGCGGTACCTGGGGAGATGGAATTGAACTCAATTGATATGTGGGTTCAGTTGCATGGATTGCCGATGGGGTATACGTCAGATACGGGTCTTGAGCAGGCTGGAAACTTTATAGGCAAGTTTGTGAAACATGATGAGAGGTTCGCGGGAGCACCGTGGCTTACTTTCTACCGGATCCGCGTATCTATTGCGGTAGGAAAGCCGTTGAGGCGAGGCATGAGATTGGTGAAACGAGATAAGTCGGTGAGTTGGATAACTTTTCGGTATGAACGTCTACACAAACATTGTACGTTTTGTGGGATGTTGGGTCATGTTCACATGTTCTGTCTGAAAGCACGTGAGAGGCCGACACCAGTTGAGAAACACCCGTTTATAGGGTTACGGGCGGGAGGAAGTAGGGGAGCACCGAGGGCAGTGGGGGAAAATTGGCTAGTGCCGGTTGGGGGGAAACCGAGACCTAGGGTGAGGGAGGAGGTGGGAGAGGGTGTGGAAAGTGGCGGTGCAGGGGGGCGGGAAGAGGGGGAGATAAGGGAGGGCAGTACGGGGGTTGGGGAGAGGGTGGAGGGAGTGGTGGCAACTGCCAAGCGCCGCCGAGGGGCTGAGGGTGAAGGAAACGATGTGGCTATGACCGATGTGTCAAAAAACTTGCAATTGGCGGGAACTGGAGCACAGTCCCGCCCGTCATCATGAGTACGATAAGTTGGAACTGTCGTGGCTTGGGCAATCCACGTACAGTTCGAGAGATTGTGGACCTTGTGTCCGGTAAGAAGCCTGACTTTGTATTTCTAATGGAAACGATGGTGCAACGGGATCATGCGGAAAGGCTCCGTGTGAGGATAGGTTTTGAAGGTTTGTTCTATGTGGATAATGTGAGGAATGGTGGGGGACTGGCTTTGTTGTGGAGGAAGAATAATACAGCTACGCTTCTGGGTTATTCAAAGAACCATGTGGATATTGAGGTCCGTATGCCATCAGGAGAGACATGGCGTATGACATGTTTCTATGGCTTCCCTAAGAGTAGTCAACGAAGAGAATCATGGGAGTTGCTGAAATCTTTGGTGGGGAAGTCTCCGCTTCCGTGGGTTGTAATAGGAGATTTTAATGATCTCTTATTCCAACATGAGAAAAGGGGAAACAATCCACATCCAGATAATTTTCTCCGGGGTTTTAGTGAAGCTGTGGATGAGTGTGGCTTGCGTCAGTTACCTATGAGGGGATATCAATTCACTTGGGAGAAATATAGTGGAACGGATCAATGGTTGGAGGAGAGATTAGATAAGGTGCTGGCAACGATGGAGTGGTGTGATGCGCATGGAAGGGCGGGTGTAGAGAATATAATTACTAGTAACTCAGATCACTCAGCTCTGTTCCTTGAT